TATGTTCTCTCCTTCTGGAGCACTTCTCGGTCATAAACTGATTCTTTATAATCTTTTCTCTGATTTCTGTTACTTTTTTTTTTCCCCATGTTCTATTTTATTTTCCAACCCTACTATTAAAGTTATTTTGATAATCACATATTTAGTATTCAAGAACTTATTGACCGTTGCTTTATATATGCATGTATGCTGTGGCCTATTTTTATACTTTCCCTTGTGATTCTTCTTTAACTCATTGTTTATTTAGGAGTACGTTGTTTAAGATTCACAGATTTGTGGATTTTCCAAATTTCCTTCTGTTGTTGATTTCTAATTTAATTCCATTGTGGTGGAAGAGCATGCTTTGTATGATTTCAGTGCTTTTAAACTAATCGAGACTTGTTTTGTGACCTAGGAAATGGTCCTGAATATGCATTCTGCAGTTGTTGATGGCGTGTTCTGTAGATGTCAGTTAGGTCTGGGTGGTTGTTGGTTTGTTCAGGCCTGCTATATCTTTGTGGATTTCCCATCTCACTTGATCTATCCATTATTGAGAGTGGAAGTCTACAACCATTATTTTTGAATTTGTTTTTTCCTTTAGTTCTCGGTTTTTGCTCTGTGTATATTTTGGGGCTCTAATGTTAGATGCATATGTTTATAATTGTTTTATTTTTGTAATGAATTGACCCTTTTATTATAAAATTCACTGTGCTAGTAGCACTTTCTTACAGTCTGTTTTGTCTGATATTAATTAACATAGATGCTCCAGCTTTTTTTGGCTTTTGTTTGCATGGTATATATTTTTTTCCATCCTTTTGTCTTAAACCTATTTGTATCTTGGAATCTGAAGTATGCCCCTCCCCAAATTTGGGCTTCTGGGGGGTTCATAGAGGACCCCTAGAGTCAGGCCACCACAAGCCCTGGGGAGAGGCAAAGACCCTAGAGGACACCCCAGCCCCCCTTACTGTGACTCCTCACACTCAGCAATGACCTGTGGGGTGGGGAGCCCTGGGACGTTTTTAAACCTGAAGTTTGGAGTCTGCACTAAGTTCCATCCACATCACTCACAAGTTTCTGTTTGTATTTCTAGCTTTTTTAAATTAAAAAACAAAAAATAATTTAAAAAAAAAACCCAGAAAACTGGTTTTCACAGCCCAGGGGCCTGGTATGCCGGTCTGTGCCCGCCTGCCCTGCCCTGGCCCACTGGCCCCATTCCCTGGGCAGAGTCACACCCAGTAACCCCTTCACCAACAGACCAGGTCACACACACAGCAGCAGTCACTGTAACAGACTGCCACGTACACACTCGGTCTCACACTCACCTGTGAGTTTTTGGTTCCGTTCAGTTTGGGTTTTTAACTTTACAGGGTCAGTTGTGCTTCACCCCTCCTTTTGTATGGAGTTGCAACCGGGGGATTTCACCTCTGCTCCAGTCCTGAGGCCTCCTAACCCTGATGTTGTGATACACCCCACAGAGATCTATGTTTCTTATATTATTATTATTGATAATAGTTATTATAATATTATGTAATAAATTTATAAGAAATTTTTTTTTAATTATGTCTGTTGTAGGGCGCCGGGGTGCTCAGTTGTTAGGCCTCTGACTCTTGATTTCAGCTCAGGTCATGATCTCGGTGGTGAGAACATGGGGCTCTGCCCTCAAAGGGGAGTTTGCTGGAGATTCTCTCTTTCCCTCTCCCTCTGCCACCCCACCCCCACTCCAGTTGCTCACACCATCTTTCTCTCTCTAAAATAAATAAATAAATCTCAAAAAAAATGTATGTCTATTATAGACAGTATAAAGTTGAATCATAGTTTCTGCCTTTTGATTGGAGGGTTTATCAGTTAATAATGTAATTAATGATATGGTTAGATTTACACCATTTTGCTTTCCATATTCATCATGTCTTTTTTGTTCCTCCTTTTCTGCCCAGCCCCGCCCCAAAACTTGCTTTTTCTAGAACTCTTATTATTGATATGATAAACATTCTAGGATAATGCTCTAGTTTTCTTATCTTTTCTATTTTCTCTTTGCTTTTTTGGGGAGATTTTCTCAACTTTATTTTCTCACCTTCTATTGAGTTTGGGTTTTTTTCCTGCGGCTATACTTTGAATTTCTAAGATTTTTTGGTGGTGTTCTCAGAATATTTTGTTTTATGGCAATCCTGTTTTCATTTCATAGTTTGGTATCTTATTTATTTCTCCTGAGAGTATTCTTTACAGTTTGATGATGATGGTGTGGCTTTTTTTCTTCTCCCTATGTAGCTTATATTTTTTTCTTTTTTTTTTTTTTTTAAGATTTTATTTTTTTATTCATGAGAGACAGAGAGAGAGGCAGAGGCAGAGAGAGAAGTAGGCTCCCCACGGAGCAGGGAGCCTGATGCGGGACTTGATCCCAGGACCCTGGGATCATGACCTGAGCCGAAGGCAGATGCTTAACCAACTGAGCCACCCAGGTGTCCCTCTTTTTTTTTACTTTTAAAGATTTATTTATTTACAGAAGAGAGAGTGTGCGTGCACGAGTGCGAGGGGGGGGGAGAGGGAGAGGGAATCTCCAGCAGACTCACTGCTGAGCTGGGAGCCCAATGCAGAGCTCAGTGCGGGGGTCAGTCTCACGACTCTGAGACCACAACCTGAACCTACATCAAGAGTCAGATGTGTAACTGACTGAGCCACCAGGTACCCCTCTTTTTTTTTTTTTTAAGTGTCTTGTTTGCTTTAGTCTCTTTTACTTTATAAGCTTTTCTCAGCTGTCTGTTGATCTTGATTATCTCTTTATATTTAAGAGAGGTAGATAAAAGCTCTGAGTGGAATTATGGGCTCTGAGTTTCACTGCAGGGTCATCTGCCTGGTCTGTTTCACTGATAATTCTCTAATGTCAGTAAAAATACCTGATTTCCTAGAGGAAGCTCCTTCATTCTGCTTCCAGGAATGTGTAATAGGGTTGGCTACCAAAGTACTGGAAGCCAAATAGATGATGAGGGCTTAGACTAGGTTCTGAGAATTTGGCATGCATAGACATTCATTTCATTATTGTACTCCTACCCTTACCTGTACCTCAGGTCTCCCAAACCAGTGTCTGGTTCTGTTTTAGACCTTCTAGAGACTAAACTTCCAGTATTCTGCTGGGAATGGAAGGGGTGATCACTTGAGTGCTCAGAATATAGGAGAAAATATGTTGGTATGATGATTTCTTGAAATACTTTAAATCACTCTGAGTACCAATTTTTTAACCTTCTCGAATTCTGCAGTATATATCAGGTTGGCTCTAGGTCAGTGCTGTCTGATAGGATTTCCTGTGATAATGGAAATGTTTTATATCTGCACTGTCTAATACAGTAGCATCTAGACATGTGGCTGTTGAGTACTTAAGCATAACTGACCTCAATTTTAATTTTAATTTATTTAAATTGAAATAGCCATATGTGGCTGTAGTTACCTTATTGGGCAACACAATTCTAGACCTTTCCCATCATTGGCTCAGGATTCAGCATTCTCAGGGGAGTTTCAATTTTGTCCACCCAAACCTTGCTTTAAGGTTTTTGTTTGTTTTCTCTCCCATTAGGCCTGTCCTGACGGGTTTGTGTTTTTAAAAATATACATACATCTTTACTATAGTTTTGTAGGATCTTGGGAAGGAGCAAAAGTTGATACAAATGTTGACTCAGTGTCATCTTTACTTAGATATTTATCATACAAAATGGTTTCAAAGATCTTGACTGTTCTAATTCCTGTGTTTGGAATATACTCTAATTAAACTGTGCTGTCCATTCTTTATTTCTTCATTCTAGGAATTCTGATTTTATTAACGCATCCTATCTATGATCTCTAATCTTTATTTTTTACATCCATATCAACATTGTTGATATGAGTTTTACTTGCATATGAAAATCTCTAGGTTCTTTTTGTTTTAGTTGTACAGTTTTAATTTTTTATCTCCTTAGCTTATAAAATTCATGGCTTATACTACCATGCTATGACTTCCATAGACACTTAAATACTTAGTATCTTACTGACAAGTAAAAATTATTACCTCAGATTATACATTTCCCAAATTCCTAATGTGGGGTCTATGTCTCCTTTTTAACTATATTTTTTCCTGATAAACAAATAATAAAATTAGAGAAATTTTGAAAAAGAGAAAAACACTAAGAAAAAAAATCTCCTATAATACTGGTACCTACAACATAACTATTATTAACATTTTAAGGTACACCTTTCTCTTTACCGCTCCCCATCCCCTGTGTGCAATCTATCTATTTCCCTCTTCCCTTCAGCACTCACAAATAGTCAGTGAAAGCTATTTTTTAAAACTTTTTTTTGCATAATAGTACATTGAATTTTTTTAACATTGGGGGTTTTTTTAATGCTGAAAAGAACAAAGTATGAAGTACATTTTTTTTTTTTTACTTTGTTTCCTTTGACCTTTAGTATTCATTCAGCTAAAAAAGTTGAACACTCATTATGTGTTATATGCTATGCTGAGCAATACAGATGCAAACTTGCTTAAGATAAAATTCATCCCCTTGGTACTGGACTGGAGTTCATATTTTGGCTATAATAAATTAGAACAAGGTCAGTTTCTTCAGTAAATAAATTCCCTTGGATAGAGTTTAAAATTGGCAGAATTTAGAGAATTCCACTCAGAATTGTAATCTGTTGTAGAAAGCGATGTTGTGGCATGATTTCAACCTATTCAAGAATATGTTAAAGATATAATACATCATTAAAATAGTTAATTTTCTCTATACTTGCCAAGTCAGTTCTTTAGAGCTTCATAAAGCATAAAAGTCTTGGGAGTTCAAATATAAAGAAATATTTTTTAGTAGTTAAAAAAATTGAATTTCAGCTTTATGGAGGTATAATTGACAAAATTGTAAAAGTGTACATCATGGTAATTTGGTAAACATACACACAGTGAAAGAATTTCCACTAATTAACACAGCCATGATCTCACATACTTATTTTCTGGTGAGAACATTTAAGTTCTATTCTAAAAATATTTTGTTTTTGTTTCCTAGGTTAAGAGCAGGATTATGTGATCGCTGTGCAGTAACTGAAGAGCACATGCGGAAAAAACAGCAAGAGTTTGAAAATATCCGGCAGCAGAATCTTAAACTTATCACAGAGCTTAGTGAGTTTCCTTTCTTCATTCGTTAAGTGTTTAAAGCATAATGTACTGTTGATAAAACCTATTATTAAAGTGGTTGCAATCAAATGGATTGTTTACATACATTTTTCCTCATGTAGGCAAAAGTTCAAATGTCCTTTATTCCCTTTCTGTAGATTTAACTTCATACTTATTTTAGTAAGAAATAGGATACAAAAAGGTGGGATGTCCACCACTGGCCCTCAAGTCCCACCAGCTGTAAAGCAAGAAGGAAATTTCCTTTGATTATGTCCATATTTGCTTCTTTCGTTTATGTAACTTCATAATTTTTATTTCATGTAATGTAACTAGTATTTAGTAAAGTTAAATACAAAGAATACAATTTAGTGTTCTACAAAATTATATACTTTCTTTGGTTTTCATGACATACTATTACAAGTATACCATTTTCAGTTGAGTCTCCTTACACATTTAATGTTGGGTTTTCTTTCATTCTTAACCTTCTCTTAACCTTCGTTTCTTCTAATACCTCTCTTAACCTTATTCTCTTTTAACTCTTCATATACTCTCTTAGTGACCTTTACCTTGATTCTCTATAAACAGCTCACATCCAAGATCTAATTAATCTTCTTTTCCAAACTAAGTCCATCTTCTGACTATTTTTTTTTTCTGTTATATTGCTATCCTCTGGTTACTCAAGCAAGAAAAAATGAGTATATCCTCATTGTTTCAAAAAGAGAAAGAATATAGTTTTATTTTGCTTCTGGATAATTACTATTAGCAATCTGATAATGCATCTTTCCAGGTCCAGGCTTATCTTTCTGTCTCTTTCCTTTGTTTTATCCCTTCTCTCTCTTCTCTCTCTCTCTTTTTTTTTTTAAGATTTTATTTTTAAGTAATTTCTACACCCAACAGGGGACTTGAACTCACAACCCCGCGATCAAGCATCACATGCTCCACTGACTGAGCCAGCCAGGTGCCCTCTCCTCTTCTCTTCTCTTTTAAATTTAATGGGATCATACCATACTTCTTTTTTTTTTTTTTAAGATTTTATTTATTTATTTGACAGAGGGATAGAGAGCACAAGGAGGGAGAGGGAGAAGCAGGCTCTCTGCCAAGCAGGGAGCCGGACGTGGGGCTCGATCCCAGGACCCCAGGATCATGACCTGAACCGAAGGCAGCCGCTTAACTGACTAAGCCCCCAGGCGCCCCCGTACCATACTTCTTGTTCTGACATGTGTTATTTTATTTTAGGCTATGTCTTAATTAAGTCTGTAGTTTCTGTGTGTATGTGTGAATGTATGTATATGTTTATTTAGGAATATAAGAACATTATCAGTGAGTAGAAAACTATTACATCTCAGTAAACATAGTTGAGATCTACAATTATATTGTTAGTATAGAAATAATCTCCAGTAATGTCTGCATACCTAATAGTCAAATTTCCAGCAACTTTGGCTATCTAAAAAATAGCCAAAATCTTCAAAGGAATAAGACATTGTTCTTTTTCATGGCTGCATTATATTCTCTAGTGTAGATGTCATTTAGCCATTCTGCTGTTGATGGACAGCTTGATTTTTGGTGGGGGGAGGTGTTTGAGAACATGCATTCCTCTACATCATCTTCAGCTTTGAGCAAAAATGTGTTAATAATACCCAATCTGATTGATAAAGAAGGATACCTTTTTTAAGTTAGCATTCTCTTTATAACTATTCAGGTTAGGTTATTTTTTTACATGATCTTCAGTTTGCATTTCTTCTTGGGTGAGCAGCTTGAATATCCTTTGCTTAATTTTCAGATAGATAAAATACCTCATGACTTCATGTTTAAAATGCAAGTTCAAGACTATAGATCTGTTGTTAACCTTTTCTCTAATAACATTTCTATCTCCTTCCATGCTGAGAAGCCTGGTTCTCAAAGACACAGGGATGATAGAATGAAAATATCCCCTAACTACTCATTTTTTAAATCTCAAAAGCACAGTAGTCTCAGAATTGCACCATTAGTAATACTATCAAGATGATTACTGTAAAGTTTTAAGAAAAGTAATTTTACATTAAAATGAGCAAAAGAAGAATTGCCAAGGTCAAATCCCCAAGTTATCATAAGAATAAAAACACCAGGGGCTTCATATATATGATTTTTTTCATGTTTCTGTTCACTGCTATTTTTTTGTTCCTGCCTTTTCTTTCTTTTATGTTTTTACTTTCCCAGTTATTGAATTTTGAGGATGTCTGTCTTTTTATTTCATTTTTATCTGATACTTTACTATTTTTTCTAATTCTTTATCTTTTTGATCAACCCTGAAAACAAATTTTTTTTAAGTAGGCTCTATGCCAACATGGGGCTCTCAAACTCATGACCCCAAGATCAGGAGTCGCTTGCTCTTTCAACTGAGCCAGCCAGGCGCCCTACAACTGTGAAATTTTACCATGCGTTCCTAAACTATAAAGTTAATTTCTTGACCATCTTCGAATAATACACAGACCTTAAAACACCTGAACTCTGCTTACATGATGTTTATGCCTAGCACTTCATTTCCTTTTTCTTAGCCTTCTAAGTTAGAAACTTTTTAAAAACTTACTGAGACAGTTTTTTAAAAGACTTAACTACATGTTTTATCAGTTTCTTTGCTTTATTATTATTTTTTGCACCTCAGTTTCCTTCTGGGATTATTTTCCTTTATGAGATACATCCTTTAGAAGGTATTTGTTGTTTCTAAACTAGTTTTTATCCACAGATATTTTTATTTTACTTTTACTTTTCTAAGGCTATTTTGCAGGGTAACAATCGTTTTTCTCTGGCTCCTACTAAGATTTTTTTCCTTTGTTTTTGTTGTTCTATAGTTTTAATGAAGTTTTTTTCCAAAAAGATTCTGTTAAGTGTATATTATAAAAATCTGTGGAACCATATCTTTAATCATATCTGGAAAACTGTCAGCTACTAGCTTTTCAAATATTGTGTCTTCTCCATTCTCTGTTTTGGGATTCTGATAAGACCTCATCATTCTGTCCTTCATATCACTTGATAATCCCTTTCCTGTTTTCATCCTCTTGTTTCTCTCTGCTGCATTCTAAGTGATTTCTTCAGCTCTCTTGTCAGTATACTAAGTACTTCAATAGTTCTCTTGTGCTGAGTTATTTTATTTCAGTAACAAATTTTTCATTCCTAAAAATTCTATTTGGTTCTTTTTCACATCTGCCTAGTCATCTTTTTTTTTCTTCTTTTTTTTAAGTAAACTCTATGCCCAGCGTGGGGTTCAAACTCACGACCCCAAGATCAAGAGTCGCATTCTCTATTGACTGAGCCAGCCAGGCACCCCTTCTTTATTTTTTTTTTAATGAAATGTTTTTAAAAATGCAGAAAGGTAGGGAGAATAGTAAAGAAACCTCATACACATTGCATTTATCTTTTTTAAATCAGGAATAGTTCCCTTTCCTATCTTTTTCTTTCATGACATTGGCTTCCTTTTTTTTTTTTTTTTTAAGATTTATTTATTTGAGAGAGAGAGCACAAGTGAGAAAGAAAGCACGGGGAGGGGGGAGGGGCAGAAGAAGAGGGAGAAGCAGAAAACCCACCGAGCAGGGAGCCCAATGCAGGGCTCCATCCCAGTACCCTGGGATCATGACCTAAGCCCAAGGCAGACATGTAACTGACTGAGCCACCCAGGCGCCCTCATGACATTGGCTTCTTGAAGTAGGGTCATTTTCCTAAAATTTTGCCACCTTCTGGATTTTTTTTTAACATTTTATCTTGTTCCTTTATTTCCTATAAAATAAATACTGGATCTGAAGGCTTGATTAGGTCTAGATTAAACATTTTTGACAGTAGTACTTCATAGCTAACACTGTCTACTTAATGTTGCATCATATCAGGAGACCGATATTATCAGGTTATTCCACTTTTAAGGATTCTAAAATTGATCACTGGGTTAAGGTGGTGGCCACATTTCTTTATTAGAGAGTTATATTTTCTCCGCCAAATAATCTGAGTGAGGGGATGGATATGTGTGATACTATTAAATCTTGGAAAAATGACAATTCTCTCTCAGTCTTTCTGTAATGATTTTCACATCTATTAGTGAGCCTTGCCTGAATTAATTATTTAGAGATTATAAAATGCTAAATTTTCATTTCTGTTCTTTCTTCATTTATTAGCTGCATTCTTCTGTAAACAGGATTTTACCCTTATCAATTGGGACTGTTGGCTGCCTTGGAATATAGTTCCTACTAGAAAGGCATGGTACATCTTAATTTTCTCCCTTTAATTGCTAGTTTTCAGAGTAAGGTCTTCTGTAATAGTTACCTGAAGTGGTGACAGATAGGGGTGTGTGTGTGTGTGTGTGTGTGTGTGTGTGTGTGTGTGTGTGATGTTTCATTTTATTTTTGATGAAAGTGGGGCTTTCTTTTTTTGAGTATAATAGACCCATAAGATTTTATATATTCAAGGTGTGTTACTTAGTTATGTTCATTATTCTTATTGATGCTCAAATTATTTCAATCTTGTCTGCCTACCCATTTTTTGTAATCACTTCTAGTGTATTCATTTTGGGCATTCCATCTTTTAAATCTTTAAACATTTCATTACTATATAAGATATTTCTGTTATCTGAAATACTTGGGAATCCATATAGGAGTAATTTTCTGCTGACTCTAGTGGTAAGGATGAGGTTTACTTTGGCTCCTTTCCAGGAGTTTGGGCTTAAACTGGAAATCTCAGGTTCAGTCCCTCCACCAGGGCTGTGATACCAGCATCTGCTTACCTACACTGCTCCGGTTTTAGCTCACAGTTTTATTTTGCTTTTGTTGATGATTGTGGTGGTGGTGTGGGAATCCCTTGGATTTCTCTTCCTGTGAGCTCAGCAGTTTAGTAAAAATTATGTGTTTATGCAGGTTCTAGTTGTTTTATCATAAGATTATTGTTAGGATATCTAATTCATTCATCTACCCTCAAGTGTTTACTTAGTCCAAGAAGGTTTTTTCTGTTTTGTTATTGTTGTTGTTGTTTAGTGTCCCTCTCCATTCTCTGTTTCTTCTCTGGAACTCAGATTAACAAGATGCCAGGTCCTCCCATTCTGTCTAATTTTTCTTTATACTTTGTAACTTTATTCTTTTATGCTGAATTCTGGGAGTCACTTAAAAGTAGTTATTCTGTCTCATTCACATTTAGTCTGTTTTCATCCCATTTATTATGCTTTTAATGATTATGACCTTTGTTTCTTTCATGGCCACCTGTTGCTTGTTTGTTTTGTTTTTGTTTTTTTAAGATTTTATTTATTTATTTGACAGAGAGAGACACAGCGAGAGAAGGAACACAGGCAGGGGGAGTGGGAGAGGGAGAAGGAGGCTTCCCACTGAGCAGGGAGCCCGATGTGGGGCTCGATCCCAGGACCCTGGGATCACGACCTGAGCCAAAGGCAGACGCTTAACGACTGAGCCACCCAGGCGCCCCTTCCTGTTGCTTGTTTTTAATGAACCTATCAGCCTTTGAAATCTGAAGATGTTATCAGATATCTTTTGTTTCCTGTATTAAAACTACTTAACCAGAGGTTAATTTTTTTATTACTAGTTTTTAATTTTTTCTTTTTTCTTTTTCTTTTTATTTATTTATTTATTTTTTTAAAGATTTTATTTATTTGACAGAAAGA